TGAAACTTAGAGATATACAGATTCAATAAATTTAAATTAAATATGATTAATAAATAATTTTTGTATTTTACATGAATAATTATTATCAATTATTATGTGATCTAAAAAGTTTTGGTTTAAATTATTACTCTTAAAGAGCCTAGCTTTTTTTCCAGAAATTTTAATTTTTAGCAATTATTTATAACTTTTTTATCTGAAAAATTTTATGAATAAAAACAAAGGCCAGAACCTAAAACTACTTAGCCATTTTACTTAATTTTTATGTGAAATTTACAATTTTTAACAAATGTTGGTAGTTTTTTGTAAAAGAAATTTTAATGAAAAAAATTAAAGGATAGGATTGCCTATTATGAGTTTATGCTTTTGATTTTTAGTTTTATATATAGTTAATACAATGCCCTAATAAAAATTTAGGTTTTTAATTACTAAAAAAAGATAAGTTTTTATTTTTCAGAGATGACAAAAATATCAAAAAAAAAATATGAGAATTAATCATAAACTTATAAATCACTGGAGTAGCTTATTAGATCTATAGTTCATGTGAATGGGAATTTTTAATGCAACAACTTTCACAATATGTGTAAAATTGAAAACGTTTTAAAATCTTGCTAAATAATGTTTTACAAATGATTAATCGATTTCATATCTTTTAAGGAAAATAAAAATAACCGATAAATAAATATTATCTATTTTATATTATTTCCACTAACATTTTGATTATCTAAACTATTTTTTTAAATTTCATATATTGTTATTAAAAGTTTGTAAGTTTTATAAATATACAATAACAAAATTTTAACCGTTGATTTAGATGAATTTTGAGATTTAAAATTCATGTATCTGCAAGTTTTAAAATATTGATCTACTTGTTAAATTTTGAGTTAAACTTATTTTGTCTTAAAATTCCTTGTGAAAATTGTATAAAAGTAACTTCATATAAATTTAAAGAAGTTATTTAATAGAGCTACTGAATAAAATCAACTATTAATAATATGTTTAAATATAATTAATAATCTACTATTTAAAAAATTTAATAGTAGCAATTAAAACAGCAATTGTTAATCTTACACTAAAACTAAAGGAACTTATCCTAATCATAGATCTAGAGTAATGATATTTAGTCATTACAATTATGAATATTCGAAAAGTAATGAACGGGTAATAATGTAAATACTACTTGAA